CGGTACCCGCACCCGGCAGCCGCTTTTGGTGCTAAGCTGCTAGGAAGCCCCTCTCGGCGAGCTCGTTGGAGCTTGAACCCATTGTCACCCCTCGGGTACGTGTCTCCTTTCCTCAGTCTGTTTTTCGTGACACTCGTCGTGTTAGGACTGGGGATTATATCTCTCCGGAGATGGGGGTGGCGGGCGCCATTTTAAGAACCCAAAGGTGCCGACCTATTTAAATAAAGCTGAGGGGGTCGAGGGAAAACAAATGAGGGGGTCCGTTTGGTTGTATGCCTCTCGAGAAAGTTTGGCAGTCGCCTGCGGGAGTGGGTAGCGGAGGTCGGGGCTTTGTAGGCTGGAGCCGGGCGAGGAGCGACTGCACCACCGCGATACCTGCATTGGGATGGCGCTGGCGCTAATGATGGGCATGTGGACTTCCATGCGGGCTGCGGGCTCCGTATTCATTGGCGGTCCGGGAGAAGAACCCCTGTGAATGTGCACAGCCAGTGTTGGTGGTAAAAGTTATTCCCCTTACCGGTGTCGGTGGTTCTGGGTTGAATCCAAGTGTCGCCATTTTGTCTTTTACACGCGGTTTTTAATGACGAGTTTTAATTAGGTTCCGCTGCAGTCACGGAGTGTCAAGTGTTAGTGTGTGCGTCCGCGTTCCGTTACTTAATAGGAAACAGTGTTGCCAATTTGTTTTTATCTTTTTGGCCGGAGAGTAGCATTTTCGGCAGGGCGGGGACCTGTGAAGAAGAGGTGGCATAACTTGGCTCGAACTTCACATTTCTCCCTAGATTTAGTAGGGAATTCTAATGAGGAAAAGAGGAGTCGTTTGGAAGAGGGCTTGGTGTTAAGGTCGTGTGTCTGGCCTGTGACCTTGGGAGTCTTTTAAAACCCCATCCTTAAGAAGGGTGTGATGAATAATTGAATCTTTCAAAGGCAACGGAAATACAGGACTATAACTAAAAGTTGCTTTCTCAAATGTTAAGCAGCTGTTGCGAAGAATAGCTAAGGGTGATCAAGGGTAGTGGTAAAAGTGATTTTGGCCCTTTTCACCAGTTTTATGTAAATTACACTGTTACTAAACTACTTAATTCAAATTGCTTCCTACTGTGGCCGAGGCTTATCTTGTTAGCGTTTTCTTTAGTCATTAAGAAACAATGGTTTTAGTGGAAAATATGAAAAATGTGCCACAGTAAAAGTGTTGAATAAACTTGAGGAAGTTTTTGCAGTGAGGTAATACTATTCCTTCTCAACAGACTTACCGACAAAACAAAACAAAAAAATGGTTGAAGCAGATCGCCCAGGAAAGCTCTTCATTGGTGGGCTTAATACGGAAACAAATGAGAAAGC